TAAAAAACACACATATGTTAAGATACCCACACATACATACACACACAAACACACACTCACACACACACACACACACACACACACACACACACACACACACACACACACACATACACATAAAACGGCGAAGGCAATTAATTGTTGTTTACCTCTAACCGCACCAATATTTTGAACAAAAGCTAATTCGTAACTTCCTTGACATCAGCGGGTAAAGCGTTGCAGAGGAGAATAGCCTGAACTGTGAAGGAAGAATTAAAAAAATTGTTCTATGTTCTGGAACACTAACTTTAAGTGCGTTAGAAGGACGAAGTTCACGGCCGGAAATAGAGTAGAGAAAGTTGAAGTTTTCTTTAAGATATGACGGAGAATTAGCATCACTTAAGATGGAAAAAAGTGTCAATAAAATTCTGGAGCAACGCCTTTGACGTATAGTGAGTCATTTAAGCTTAGAACGATAGGCAGAGATATGGTCGTATTTACGTAAATTAAAAACAAATCTTATACAACTATTGAGAAGGCGCTCCAACTTATTGAGAAGATATAGCGACAGATCCGGATAGCACACATCAGCATAATCAATAATGGGAAGAATGAGGGAATTAACCAACATAAGCTTAGTTTTGAAGGGTAAGAAATTTTTCAGACGATACAGGGAACGTAAGGCAACAACAACTTTACGGCTTATTTCAGATATTTGTAAACTCCAGTTCATAGTTTCGATCTATATGCAAACCAAGATTAACTATTTATTCATTGAAAGGAATCGTTATACTATTGTAAACCACAGGTTCAAGATTTCTAAAGTCAATCCTGGCCAGCATCCTTGAACTACCTACAATCATTGCTTTGCATTTCAACGGATTTACCGAGATACTATACCTGTACGACCAAACTCGGATAGCATCAAGATCATCGTTCATCAGTCTTATGACGTTATTGATATCATCGATACTAGATTTTACGTATAGTTGAAGATTATCTGCATACAGATGGTGCGAACACTTGATAACAGAATATATGGAATTAATGAATAAAGAAATCACTATAGGAGAAAGTATGCCGCCTTGCGGCACGCCAGATTCGATGACAGCCCAGCCAGAGAACTGTTCTCCAAGGCGGACGGATTGTTGGTGGCCGCGAAGATAGGATGAGATCCACTCCAAGGCTGAGGATGAAAATCTGAGATGAGTCAGAATGGAGAGGAGGAAGTCTTGATCAACTGTGTTAAAAGCATTTGAAAAGCCAACAAGCACCAGCACTGTAACTTTCTGTTTATCCATACCTTTTCTTATGTCATCAGTGACCTTAATAAGTGCAGTGATGGTACTGTGACCAGACCGAAACCCTGATTGAAAAACATTCAATAGGTTATGTTCTTTTATGAAATAAGAGATTTGCTTATACACACAGGCTTCAAGAACTTTGGACAAGAATGGGAGAATAGAAATTGGTCAAAAGTGTGAGGGTAGTGTAGGTTTAGGAATTTTGGGAAGAGTTCGAATATAAGCTTGTTTCCACAAAGTTGGGTATTGACCTGAGTCCAAGGAGTAATTTACAATAGTTTTTATTGCTGGGAGAAGGAACTCGAGTAACATATTCACCATACTCTTGCTTATGTCATCACAACCCAGAGCCTTGGAGTTAATAGCTGATAACGCCCTAGCAACGTCATCTTGGGTCACAGGAGAGAATTCAAAAAAGGGAATGGAGAGTGGTTCCATAGAAGCGATAGAATGTATCGTTTGGGATTTAATACTAGGATCAATAGGAACAATGACAGCAAAATGACGATTAATGTCATCTAAATTAAGCGAAGGACCTAACCCTACTAACGGAGGCTTCGTAATACATAGGGATCCAAGGAATTTCCACATACCTGCGGTCGAAGTATTAAGGATATTGTCGTGAATGTAGCAGCGTATAGCGTTTCGCACCATCTGATTACATCTGTTTCTGCAAGCTTTAAAACTAGACCAATTTTCCACAGTGCATTTTTTCTTAAACTTCTGAAAAACTCGGTTCCGTCTCGCTATTACCAGTTCATCGCCTCTGTTCATCCAGGGTTCAGGAGGACGCTTTACTCTTACTTGGTGTACAGGAGCATGTACATTATATAAATTGAGAACAATGCTATTAAGGATTGAGATTTTATCATCTATTGTACATGCTAAACCAAGAGGTTTTAAATCAACACGAGAAGCGTCGCTCTTGAGTTGATCAATGTTCAATTTGGAAAGGTTACGTAAATGCAAAATTGAAAGATTGAAACCTCAAAAACACAAACCCTCTGTTTGTGTTTTTGAGGTTTCAATTTATAAGAAAAGTAAATTAAGTCATGACGTGAAAAACACGGAGCAAATAGTTGTCCATGCTTAACCACGCGGTCGGGAGAAGAGGTAATAATAAGGTCAATCCATGAATCATCACTTTCGATGTTGTGGTGGGTTTCCTTTAACGGAAGAATGACTGATTCCAAAATTGACCCAAGTTTTTGGACGCGAGAGTTATTTAGTAATAAATTGCTGTTGAAGTCACTCGTTATCATGTGGTGTGTATATTCGGATCCAATCTTGTCAAGAGCCGTTTCGAGATCAAGGAAATAATCTACAGCCGGCGGACAGTACACTACCCCTAGTATCGCCTTAATGCCCCTGATGTCAATTTCAAGAAATAAGAACTCTGCAGAGGCAGAATAGGGGATGGAGAAGATAGAACAATCTTATATGGTATTATTGCCCGCAGATATATTGCAACACCTCCACCTCCCTTTCCTATCCTGTCGTTACGAATAAGCACGAAGTCTCTGAGTGGATACAGGCTAGATAATAAGGATGGCTTTAGCCAGCTTTCCGATACTAATATAGCATGAATTAAATCAAGTGAGAATGATTGTTCAAATTCAGAAAAATGACCCGAAATGCTCTGGGCGTTTATATGGCAGACGTTAAGGAATTTACCACAAGGCAAAAAAATATTATTTAATTCGTCACGAAGAGATAGGAAATTATCTTCAGACATATCACAACAAGAGGTAAACGAAGTTTCTGATTCTTGAGCAGAATAAAGTGATTCTTCACCTGACATTACAAAATTATTAAATAAAGTATATGTAATAAATTACCTAAATAATATAATTAAATACAACTTAAAATAAAAATATATAAAACAAATTGTAAAGCCTAATAAAGTACTAATAATTAATTTGCAAATATTATTATTATTTCACCTTACATTACTTTTTATTGGTGGCATATGATTAATTTTTAAAAATAAGACTTATTTTTTATTAATATAAAGAAATACATAACATTCAATGTATTTTTTTTGGAATTTACTAATAATAAATTTTAAATAAATAATATACAAAAATAAATAATAAATTCTAGAAAATAATAATTATTGACACCGAATGTCAACAATTTTTATTTTCAGATATTTTCTTTCGTTCCTAATGAAACGTAGTTACGTAGAAGTGGCTTAGGTTTTTAATGAGCGTGTCAATGAATGTTAAAATGGTACTTCTCAGACCTCAGTAACTCAAAAAAAACAGGTTTATTCATGTTGTTGGGATCATCATTATGTATAACAAATTAAAATATTTGATTCGATCTACATCATCTTCATCATCATCATCATTACAGCCCTTCACAAGTCCGTAACATAGACCTCCCTCAGGGAATGCCTCAAAACATGGTCCTGAGCCACCTGCATCCATCGCCTTCCTACATGGCTTACCAAGTCGTCACTATTATGAGTGGGGCGACACCCTACACTTCGTCCACATGACTTCAAGTACCGGTTTTCCAACCGATTTCAGAAGTCTCCGTTGCAATTACAGCGGGCACTTTTTCTTCTTAAGATCTACATATTAAAGAGAAAAGAGCCTATAAAATTTCACTAATGAACATAAGCTTCCTCCATACATTGTCGTATGGATTGCTTGTTGGTAACCGCAGGTTTTGATATTTTGAGTTGTTATCAGTATGATGCTGCTGTCCATTTCCTGTTTTAGTTAATATATTATTGTTTCACCGTTGTAGATCTAATCGTTTTTGTGTTATGGGTAGTCCGATGTGGTTAGAAATGTTTCGTGTAAATATATTAACTGGCGATGCATCACCCTTTTCTTTTCAGGACTTGGCTAATTCAAATGTAGCGCATATTGAATTACGTTCATTATGGATATTCTCAAGACTAAAATTTTATCATGTCACATTGTTTTACCTTAAAATAATATCTAATATTAGGGGTATTAAAGTCCGAATAATAATTAAATTAATTTCTTTGTCCTCTCAAGTAAAATTAGCGACAGTAGGTTAAGGTGATTTCGTGGTAGGACTCTTATACATAATTACATTTTAAGACATTTAAGATCGTGAGGGATTTCAATTCGTTTGTAAAAAGTGAAAATTACCAGAAGAAAATTGTCAAGGTACTGTTGTAAATATATTATACATAATCGAAATACCACTGACTGACTCATCACGAGATCTCTAAAGCTATACACCTAATTGACTTGAAATTTAGTATCATTTCGCAATTTAGACGCTCACTAAGAATGATTTTACGATAGTCCCACCAGAAAAACATTTAATAGGTTCCGAAATAAAAAAATATCGTGCGCCCGTTGAAGCTAGTCTTCGATAAAGCTTAACCTACTGAAAGAAAAATCTATAATAACATCAGCGTTTCAACTTAATTCGACTTAATGTTTCATAATATTCCAAAGTAGGGTAATATGACATTGCTTGTGTTCATTAATTTGGTAATATTATGAATTCATATTACTGAGAGTAATTTTAATACACTTAAGTGAAATAATAAATTTAGAGCAATTTAAAATATCCGTAAGTGAATCTTAATATATTACCTAATCAGATACATAGCCATTATAGATAATTTAAAAGCGCCCCCAGTCACGGAGACGTGGTAGGCTAGCGTGGTATAGGTATATTATTGGAAGAAAAGTAAAACATGTAACTGTATGCGGATCATATAAGAGTAGAGGGAGGCCTAAGAAAAGGTGGACGGATTGTGTAAAGTATTACGGCTTATATTATAGAGGAGAAAGGAAACGGAATGAAGAGAAATACTGGCCTGCACCGATTGACCCGACTGGCCGCCGCGCACGAAATTTGGTCTAGAGGACATTATTTTTGGTTAAATAATGGACATTAACGCACAACTGAAAGTACGAAATTGATTTAGCAGTCCTTACGGTTACAACCAAGAAAGAGGCGGTACATTGTACGTCATAATAACTACCACTGTCTGTATGAGTATGGGATATGCAGTTGAATTTTTTATATACCAAATGCAACAAAATAAATAAATATAACATCTGAAGTTCGTTTTCGATTCGATATTTCTGTTTAACCGAGTTCCAAAATCGAGAAGGATTTGTATTTGACGTGTATATTTGTTTTTTTAAGTATGTTCACCGGTCGTTCGGAAAAGATTTAATTTATTTGAATTATTAGTCTTTTATGATAGGTTACACTTCAAGAGTAGCCCTTTATAAATTTTAAGAAAATATTCTCACACTTTTGGGTTGAAAGTAGTGGATGGAGATTTTAATGTAATTCTTAAGACGACATTCTTGTGGTTATCTATAAATTGTAATATTTCTTAGTACATTCAAATGGCTTAAATAATTAAACTATCAAATAAGTAAAACTAACTTGCCAACCCGCCTGCCAAGCGTTGCAACGTTGGCAAAATTCTCCCCACCTGTGGAGGAGGCTTATGTTCAGCATTGGACTTGTTATAGGCTGTAGTGATGATGACGATGATGCTTAACTTATAAGGTAAAGCCTCAATTGACTTCGTTCGCTGGATCCTGTGGCATAGAGTCATGACAGAAACACACTATTGTATTGTGTGTCTTATGTGGTGATCATACAGCAGACGTGAAAATTCTATGAAACGAAAACTTGTCAGCAATGCTACCGCAAACATCAGTACAGTTATTTGACGATAAGTCGAAAGTCTATTGAGATTTTCTATTATCGGAATTTTTTGTTAAATTTGCCTGCTTATTTTATACTAACGGAATATGCCGTTAATTACCGTATTGTTTTTTTCAATTACAATCCAGTAGTATATTATCGGACTGCTTGGTATCCTTGCTGCGACTTTATAGCTATGAACAGCTTAAAGTTATTGACTACGCCTGTGTTAGTGTGTTATGCTCTGACATCGTGCACGAAATCGTAGAAAGCCAAGCAATATAATGCTATAATTTAAGAAATGTTTAGTAAATTGCTATCGTCAACCCTTATTTGTGATGTTGTATGTTTATTTTTATTCTAAGTTTGTCCATTTCACTAACATAGTACAGTTTTTAGTAAAAAAAAAAAATAATATAAAAAATAGTAATACTAATAACAATAAATATAGTAGCCTTTTAACGTGTCAATTGATGAATCGACCGTCATCCTTAGGACTCTACTGGTAAATTAATTTTGCATTTTCATAAAAATTTAAAATTGTTGTATATATACAAGAATAATTCATAATTATTATAAAATATTTTAATGAATCTTATTAATTTCGATTACCTTGACCTCTTTATACGATCTTATTTCTAAATTAGACTGCAAATTTAGAGTGAACGGGTTTCAACGTTTTTAAATTATTTCAATTTTCCAGCTAATAGAATGTGTAGTTTCTAAGATAAGCCACTGTGGCATACGGACATATTGAAGTATTTACTGCAGTATTGCTGACTTACAACGTATTTTACAATCAGAAATAATTCCATATTATTGTAAAGGAAATATTAAATAAGAGATTTTACCATAAATATTATTTATAAATAAAGATTGATTGGATCTTTATTTGTATAACTTTTGCTTTTACACTATTATTGTATAAAATAGGTATCCGAACTCGGTACCACATCTCTGTCTTCTTTTCTTTTCGCATCATAAGCTTATTGTATGCAATTATAAAAATTTTATAAAAGTGTTTGTCGTTGAAACCTTATTGTTTTGAAAAACGAAAAATTCCCAATGTTTAATAAATTGAGAGCTAACTTTTTTTAATGAGTTAAAATATTCATGAATAATTAAATAAAATTAAAAGCCAAATTCAGCTTGTTATTTTTGTTGAGTATGCCAGCCAGTTCGTAATTACGTCTCATTTTAAATAAATATTAAAAACATTTTTGTGTTGTTCATTATGGTAATATAAGTGATAAGTAGGTCTATTTTTTTTTCAATTTTTATTATCATCAAAACTTAAGTATTAAACTGAACGGACTTAAGCGTAATAAAATATATTCCCTCCTAACTTATTATGACTATGACTATAAAGACATCTAAAACAGGCAATGTAAATTCAACTTGATTAAACATAAAATGTAATAGTGGATATGTGTACGTAACCTATAATTTATAAAGAAACAACGTAAGTAGAGTCTCGACGATTGTACGTATTGACTAAAATAAATGATTTTAGTGTTACCTGTCGCTTGTTTGTTCATACTGGGTTACCTTGCAATAACCGGCAAAATTTGCAGAGAAGGTTCAGAATAAGTAATATAGCCAAATGGTGAAGAGAAATTAATTAAAAAGTATAAGCCTTATTTACTCGTATTTTCAAAAACGGCAACGGTATATCATTATTTATATGTTTGAACTTAAGTTTAAAATTTGGCTACTCTTTGAAAAAATAACCCTATATAGAGTATATTTTATGGAAGGTACTTTAATGAAGTAAGCTTTTAGCAAAGTGGTTGCCAAATTGCCCATTATACCTTAATGTCCAAAGTATATTATTTTTTATTTCTGTTCTGTTCTGTTCTGCTCAGCGGTGAAGGAAAACATCGTGAGGAAACCTGCATGTCTGAGAAATAAGAAAAAAAATATATTTCGAAGACATGTGAAGTTCGCCAACACGCATTGGGGCAGCGCGGCGGACATTTCCTTGCCCTAAAACCCTCTCAGAAATGGGAGGAGGCCTGTGCTCAGCAGTAGGACGTAAATAGGCTGCAACTTTACTTTACTTTACTGTCATATGAAATTTTTTCCAGGGCCATTTCTTGTTCTGCGAGTTTTTCCTGCACTTGTTCAGTTTTTGTTTCAATTTTATTACATGTTTCGTTTATATTGTTGTTGATGTTTTTTGTGATATTTTTCAGGTTAGTGCCTGAATTTTCAAAAGCATATTTTTAATTTCCTCCATATTTATTTAGAATAACAATAAACTTATTCCGAATAAATAACGTAACTATGCAGTAAGCCGTGAAGTAGTGTTGTAAATTTTCTTATTCAGCGACAGATGACGCTGAAGTGGCTTTAGATCGATGCATTACTTTTGTTTTATCATTTGTAATTTTTAGTTTATTAAATCACTAATTTAGCCATTTTGGGTTTTCAATCTAACACTAGTTATTGATTTTGGTATTCAAGTCAATCAAATCGCTCCACAGATAGTTTTGACATATTTCACTGTATTCACTTTATAAAAGTTTATGATCATTACGAGATCGTTACGATTACTTTTTACACTTTTTTACTTTAAGAATTGCTAACAATATTCTCGATTTTATACTGTTTTACTATATGTAACTTTTAAATCCACCTAATTTCTATATTTTTATTACAATTTGCTCACTTAACTTGATAACTTAACACTCAAAACAATTTATATACCTATATATTGTCTATTTGGAAACATTCATACCAAATTTTTAAATAATTATTTTATTTTATTTTAAGGGAGAAAACGTTTAAAAATAATTTAAAATTACCTAAGAATTAAGATTCTTATGTAATTTATAATAACCTAAGAATTAAGATTCTTATAATCGCGGATTTCAAGGACAATTTTTGCTATATTTTATTACATTAAATGTATAGTCAAACAAACTTACGGACTATGTATGCGAGAAAACATATAATTGGATTCCCAGTGTCACCACGAGAAAAACATCACGAAGTAACATTTTTGTCCAAGAAATTACAAAGTAATGCGGTCTGCAATGTATAGTCTTTATTGTCCTAAAAGATACCCAGGAATGAACTTTACTTTTTAAATGAAATGATTACTGTATATAGCCAAGAGAGTTAACAATTGTGTTCTATAATCTCTATATATAAAAATCAATTGCTGTCCGTTTGTCTCGCGAAAACTAGAAGATGGCTGGACCGATTTTAATGAATTTTTTTTATGTGGGTTTGAGTGGGTCGCTGGATGGTTTAGATTCACAATTAAACCCGGTAAGTGGCACTGTTGTCGCGATAAAGAAAACACCCGTGCGAAGCCGGGGCGAAATTCTAGGTTTTTTTATAGTTTCAAAGCGTCACTTAGTATTTTTTATTTTCCTTTCTACGAGTGTATTTCGTTACATGTATTATTTTGGCGTTGCGCTGTTTTTTGTGTTTTACTTACATTAGTCGTAAAATCGTACCTGGGCGACCGAGATCGAATTTTTCTTTTCTTAAATTATAGATGACACCTATCTAGATAGACTGTGAAAGTACAACAAAATCTTCAAAAACTTACACGCAGAGCTATGCTGCAGCTATATTATGGTTATAGCACGAATTGGTCGGCTCGACTGGGGAAGGACCACGCTATACAACACAGAATTTTTTACAGAATACCAGCGTAAAATAGCAGCTAAATGCTGCTAGTTTTTTAATGTTAAGTGAAGATAACCGGAGACCCCTTTTTACTGGAAACACGGCATGCCATTTTTGTGCTCAGGGTTGACAAAGCATCTGCATTTTGCTTCTTAATCGAGGATAGATGTAGATGTCTTTGAGCCACAGCATGTACTTACCATCAGGTGATGTTTACTCGTTTGTCAACATTATTTTATAAAAAAAAATTTCATCCAAATCATTAGGGCCGTATCCAAAAAATCAGTCACATACATACATAGAAGATTTAAATATCTGATTGCTCACTTAAAGTACGAATATATCGGATATTTAAATAAATAATGAGAGAATATCCTTTTAATGATGCAAGTCATCTCTGCTAAGAGATCATCGAGGTCAATAGTATAATCAAAAAGTAAAGAAACAACAAATATACTTTTAGAGATACGGTTTTTGAATTGCGGTTTTTGTGTATTACATTACTAGTTGTATTAGAAATGTTTTCTTCATTACGATGACAAGTTAAGTAACGC